AAACAAAAGAGCCAAGGCTGCAGCAAGGAAAAGAAAGTCTCGCGCAAATGAAATCCAGACCAAACGGCAGCCGGAGGAACTTCCAATACGGAGAATATATAATTTAGGGAATCTCAAACTCCTGAACAAGCCGAAGGCCCAATCAAGAGCCCTCTGCATAGGGCGGCTTTTTAACTAGTATATATATATATATATATATATATATATATATATATATATATATATATATATGTATGTATGTGTGTGTGTGTGTGTGTTCTGTTTATACGTTATTTTTATATATACAAATATTTAAGTAAATGTTCTGCTTATGATAAACAGTATTAACGACATTTACCAGCTTGAATGTCCGAGAAATTCCATAGAAAATATGTCCTATGAAATTTCCCTGATATTTATAGGCCGGGAAATGAAATGTTATAAATACTGTTTGTCATATTTGTATCTATAAAAATAACGTATAAACAGAAAATATATTAAAATAATTGTCAGACTTAGTTCATTTCATGATATATATATATATATATATATATATATATATATATATATATAATATTCCTGTATACATATATTTTCGTGTGACATCATCGTATTAAGAAGTGATCTTTACGTTGAGATGACTACAGTTACGAAAGAAAGGGGTCGCTGACAATTTTAATTTCTAAATTTAATTTTTAAAAGATATGTGCTTGGATATAGTCTAGCCGATATCATTTAATTTCTTTTTGTTTATGCTTTTATCACTTTTGTTTAAGTATCCCCCATTGTGATAATAGACAATCTCTTAAGAAAAGTTAAATATTTTAAGAACCTGGACGCAAAATCAATTTGGATGATTAAATCACTTTATATACATATTCATCTTAGTAAACTATTATCTCGTTTAATTAAAGTAGTATTTTTCAAATTATATAAACATTTATTTAAATTTCTCGTGGTTTCTCCTGTGTATTGCTTGTGGCAATTATTACAGGTGTTAGAGAAAATTTCTCGTTCAAGCTTTTAGCTTATTATTTTGTTTTTGTATTACTTAAATCTTTTAATGTTTTAGAAAGTAGTTGTAACAAATTGTAACACATTTTATGTTAAGCTTAGATAATTCTTTTTCATTTGACGTAATAGATTTGCTAGGTAGAATAAATATATTTTTATCCACTTTGTCATTAATTTTCCTAACATTGTTTTGGTGTATAAAAATTTATACATAGTTTCACACACACACACACACACACACACACACACACACACACACACACACACACACATACTCTCTCTCTCTCTCTCTCTCTCTCTTACACACACACACATATAAAGAAATAATATGTTAACATGGAAAAAGATCATATTATATATATATATATATATATATATATATATATATATATATATATATATATATATATATATATATATATATATATATATATATATATATATATATATATATATATATATATATATGGGGGGTGCATGTGTGTGTGTGTAGCCTTTACGGGATACTTATAATTATATCCATATGCCGATATTCGGTTAAGTTCTCACGTACTTATTAATGTAAAGTCGTAAGGCCCTCTTCGCGAATGCACATGCATACACTTGTCTTTACCCCTGCATACGTTGACGCGTACACACATGCATAAAAGCAACAACAAAAAAAAAGCGCGCAGAAACCCCTCTGAACTTGCAAACACTGCTCAGCATAGGCCGAGTGACGTCATTTCCTTTCCGTGTGGAACTCTTCACGGATGAGTAACGGGAGGTTAGAAAATCAATTAAAGTGATAAACGCCGGTCTATTTATTGCTGCTTTTGTGCAAGCCTCGCCGACATGATTCCTAGTTTCATTTAGCATGAAATGAGTCAGAATTCGCTTTTCCCCAGCCATTCTTTTGACGAAAGACAAACAAAACCAGAAATGAAAAGTAAGGGGGTAGAAAAAAAAAATGAAGCCAAAACAAAACACAGACAGATAAAAGGAATGCTAGAAATAATACTGTCTTTATTTGGCTGAGACTTTTTTTTTTTTTTTCATATGATGAAAAAAAAATGTCAGAAAGAAAACGAAAGATAAAATATCTTGTCTCGTATATAAAATGCTGGTCTTGTCTGTCTGTAGCCTTAAAAATACTCTTGAAATTTCTACGTTATTTATTTATTTATTGTTTTCTTTTTTTAAGCGGCGGAGAAATTTGCTCGAATTTATAATCTCAAAAATATGTTACCAGGATCGATACCGTGCAATTCTCAGGGTCACACACACACGATTAATTTCTATTGAGTGTTTTCCTTTGTTTTTCTCACAAACATGTTCTCCGTTGATAACACTGAATATTGAAAAAAAAATTTGGGTCGTCTTTTGCTTTCCCATTAAATATAAAACAGAACTTGTTTGGTGGTTGAAGCAGTTGCGTACTTCTCACTGGTAACATCACTAAATGCAAAGATTTCGAAAGCTGATTTCACAGCTGATTGACTCTCTCTATTTAATCCTGTGACACAACAGAATCTTCTTTCACTTCCACTTACCTTCGTGTCAGACTAAGCTAAGCATAGTATATAGCAAGAAATCTCTTAGTATTTTCTTTCCGTTTTTCTTTTTAATTTTCTTTTTCTTTCTTTTCCACTATATCTTTTACTATTCTTTATAATTTGATCTTTCTTTTTTTCTTTCATTCATTCATTCTTTCTTTCTTTCTTTTTTACTTGATCTTTTTCCATTCTTTTTCATTTGATCTTTCTTTCTTTCTCCGGTTATTTTAATATCTGGATTGTCTAAGGCCTTTTTTTGTCCCTTAATGTCACACGGGACTGTCACAAAACGGCCAAAAACTGATATTTTCAGAGTCAATAAATATCATTTACTTTTTCGGTTGTCACCAACCAACAAGAAACTGCAAAAAATGCAAAATCTTTAATTGATTAAATATTCATGTGAAGAATTTTTTTTGTTTTTGTTTGGCCCTATTTGGAAAGAATTTTTATGCATGTATCGACACTATTGACGTGAGATGAACAGCAAAGAGTTTTTGCTGAAATATTGTGCTGTTTAGCACCGTTTAGCAAACTTGACTCGCAGGATAGTGAGTTCGATCCTCACAGGATGTCGCTTCTTTGTGGCTCATTGATATTGCATCCTGTCTGATTTGGTTTGGCGCAATGGTTAGCAAGTTAGTGTCACATACCATTACTACAAGAAGTGAGTTTAATCCTCACTCTTTTTTTATGTCAGTCTAAGATTTTTATCAGAAATGAAAAAAAAATGCTTATACCTTAATCGTTCCCGAAACATGAACAAAATTAAATTTAATAAGCAATTCGCATGAAATAATTTGAAAAATATTAGAGCTTCATTGGTTAATTCATATATAATTGGCCTTAAATGCATAACAAAATAATAGTAAAAGTCATTACTGTTTTTAATGCCATATTCCTTCAAGGCGTAGGGGATCACGGCCCTCCACATATTCCTCTTCTTTATTATCTGTGAATTCATATGCATTCTTGGAAAGATATTGGAGTGGCTTCCCATTGCCACAATTTGGATTTCAAAGTTTTTATTCTCCTAAACTAGTTGCTACTCAAGGCTAGAAAGTCCAGTCTACTCTACTATTTAACTAATAGTGGGTGAATGGAGTTGGGACAGATTAATGCCTTTCTAAAATGTATCAGTGCGAAAGTAAACGTAACCGACTAGTCTGGAATTTGAACTCGACCCGCTGATTTTAAATTTCCGCACTGATATCCGTTGCACCATTCAGGGTAAATAAATTTCACAAGACAAATAAACAATCAAATGAATACAAAGAAAAAAAATACTATGCACACGTAAAGAGAATGGGAAAGAAAGTGAGAATGCGTTAGTTTAACGAAATCCTTTTATGAAACAAAAAAGTCGTTCGTCTCCTTAATTTTGGTAGGTTGATTGGTTTTCTTTAGTGGCATATAAATCTCTATGGGTTATTTTAATGCCGAATATTTAGTACGCAATTTTACTTTATTTTTATATATATATATATATATATATATATATATATATATATATATAGTAATGTTTTAGTGATAGCGGCTCGGATTGAGGAATCGGAGAGCCGAGTTCGAATTCAGTTGAATCCATTACATTTACTTACGTGCTAATACCCTTCGGAAAGCTAGGAATCCTCTTCTTCTCCCCCCAGCTATGTGTAAATAGTAGGACAGACTCGGTTCTACAGCCTTGAATAGCAACTGGTCCACCGCAGAAAGAAGTGACAACTTACTGCGGGAAAAAAAAATCTGCCTCGTCAGTCATGTATCGAAAGATACATGATCGCCTAAGCGTTTATCACGCATGGCTGACTGACTGACTTTCCAGTTGAATCCATTACATTCACTTACGTGCTAATACCCTTGGGAAAGGTATGATTCCTCTTCCTCCCCTCAGCTATGGGTAAATAGCAGGACAGATCGGGTTCTATGGCCTTGGATGGCAACTGGTCTACTGCAGAAAAAAATGGCACCCTGCTGTGGGAAAAAAAATCTGCCACGTCAGTCATGTATCGAAAGATACATAATCGCCTTAGCGTGAATCACGCAAGGCACATCACTGACTGACTGACTTTCCAGTTGAATCCATTACATTCACTTACGTGCTAATACCCTTGGGAAAGGTATGATTCCTCTTCTCCCCCCTGCTACGGGTAAATAGCAGGACAGACCGGGTTCTATAGCCTTGGATGGCAATTAGTGTACTGCAGAAAGAAATGGCAATCTACTGCAGGAAAAAATCTGCCTCGTCAGTCATGTATCGAAAGATAAATAAATGTCTAAGCGTGTATCACGCATGGCACATAACTGACTGATACAACTCTTACTATTTAACCCATAGCTGGGTTAGAGAAGCAGTGGATTCGTGCCTTTCCCAACGGTATTTGGCGTAAATGAATATAAGGAACCCAAACGAGAATTTGGGACTCGGATCTCCAATTAAAAATAACTATCCACCACACCACCAGCACATCGAAGCTTACAGCACTTTGTATTCCCAATCGGTCACCCATCTAGGTACTGACGAGGCTCAACTTTGCTTAACGTCGGTGATAGTACGGGAACCGATGTTTCAAGATGATGTTGCCATAAGCCTGTTTAATTTGAAACACAGATGACGTTAGAATTCACTGAAGCAAAAAGGTTTCTTTTTTGTAATCAACTAAAATCAATTGGTTGGAAAATCCAGTAATGTCATAGAGAACCTCGAATTTGCTTAAGAGACATCATAAAGACGGAAGCTTAATTATATCCGCGACTAATAAGCCTCTTGCTTTTGTCAAATTAAGGAACTGTATTGTAATACACCATCCTGCTTGTCCAAGAGTAAACCATGTCTAAGTGGTCATAACGACTTTCACGTTTTCTGGAAGTCAAGTACTCGACCTGGCATTGATTCAATTTGGTATGCAGTTACAAAAGCGCACACATTGGCCACGAATTACATAAGAAAGTCTGTAAAATGTCATAAAATTCATGCAAACCTCCACGACAAAACCTAGCTTCTGCAGACGGGCCAATAATGTCTGCATCATGATAGCAGCAACGGTGCTTAGAAAAACCGGCAGAAAGTTCAACTTCATAAGTACGACAACAAACAGAAACTGAACTCAGTATTAATGGTGGTAGTATGAATCGTTTAATTAATCAACTACTATATATATATTTGAGTATACTGCAAGTTTTTGTTATCAGTTTTTTAAGCAAAATATAAAGGGTCACATTATACATAGGTAATTTTTTTTTTTTAAAGAGGTTAAAATCATGTATTTTTGGTGATCGGTTAAAATCTACACGGGTAAATGTTTTCTGTTCGTAAAATTCATGCAAAAAAATTCAGTGGTCGCACTGTGTGTTAAGTCGGCTTATATACACAGGTATGTAGTGTACGTAGATTCGGCATATAATACCAAATCTTACAAATCAGAGATTGAAATGAACAGTGACTGGTTGGTTAAGTCTAAATCTAAAAACACTAAATTGTTTCGGGCAATTAGTCACCTTCAATATAATACGATTATAAAAAAAAAAAAAAGATTTTGGAATGTAACAGAATTAAACTGGTGGCTCAGTGTTCCAAAAGTGAATAATATAGCATGGACTGGGAATTTGACGTTAATAATTCTAATTACATTTACTTACACAATTCATTAAGTTTTGTTTTTAATCTTGTTCATCCCAAGCAAGGCAGTAAAGCCACTAAGACAGAAGGGGGGTCACTAAGTGTGAAAGAATAAGATAAAAGAGAAAAGGAGCAAGAACAAAAGAAGTTTAATCAGGGGGACAACAGATAGTGTTTGACATTTAAATTTTTGAAGATTAAATTTGACTGGAAAGCATGAAGCCAGAAAAGAGTTCCACAAGAGACAAGTGTGGGAAATGATAGCACAGAACTTATGGTTACATTTAACCAACTCAACTGTAAATTGAAGAAGAAGAGAAGGAGGAGAAGAAGAGAAAGAAGGAGAAGAAAAGGAAGGAGGAGAAAGAGAAGAAGAGAAAAGAAAAATATAAGAAGAAGAAAAGGAAAGAGAAGAATAAGAGGGAAGAGAAGAGAAAGTAGGAGAGAAGAAGTGGGGAGAGAAGAAAAGCAGGAAAAAAGAGGGAAGAAAAGAAGAAGAAGAAGAAAAAGAATAGGAAAGAGAAGAAGAGGCAGGGGGCAAAGAAGAAGAAAAAGGGGAAGGAAAAGAAGCGGAAGGAGAAGGGGGAAAAGAAGCAGAAGAAGAAAAAGAATAGGAAAGAGAAGAATAGGAAAGAGAAGAAGAGGCAGGGGACAAAGAAGAAGAAAAAGGGGAAGGAAAAGAAGCGGAAGGAGAAGGGGGAAAAGAAGAGGAAGAAGAAAAAGAATAGGAAAGAGAAGAATAGGAAAGAGAAGAAGAGGCAGGGGTCAAAGAACAAGAAAAAGGAGAAGGAAAAAAGCGGAAGAAGGGGGAAAGGAAGAGGAAGAAGAAAAAGAATAGGAAAGAGAAGAAGAGGAAAGAGAAGAGGAGACAGGGGAAAAGAAGAAGAAAAGGGGAAGGAAAAGAAGCGGAAGGAGAAGGGGAAAAGAAGCGGAAGGAGAAGGGGGAAAATAAGCGGAAGGAGAAGGGGGGAAAGAAGAGGAAGGAGAAGGGGGGAAAAGAAGAGGAAGAATGTCATAGACGGCAGTGAATGGATTAACGCCATGTAATTTTTGGCTCACGACGAAATTTTCTCTTGATTTTATCTTTTAAGGCGTGTTCATTATCTTTTATGAGAAATATTTTATTTCTTTAGAAGTTCGACGTCACCCCCCTCCTCCGTTTGAAGTTTTTTCAGTCGTATCTCCATCTTTTTTTTAATTTTTAGAATAGGTTGCCAAACATCTATCTTTTATTTATTTGTTTTTTCGGGACAGAAAATCTGTTCTATCAAAGAATGCGTCAAAACCATCATTCCTTTCGTATACCATTGGTAAGATGTAAGTTCTATTCAAGCAGCTTCTTCCCACCAAACCCTGCTTTGTGGAACCGACTCCCAAGGGGATGCTTCACCTGTTCAAGTCTATGGTTAACCCTCATCTTCCCCTCATATCCGCTTAAACTGTGCTTCTTACTCTGTAACATTCTACCTCGAGTGGCTCTCGGGACATGTACAGGGTGAACATCATTGTAAAAAAATGTTGTAGGAATGGGTAGCAGACTATTCTTACAAAATATTACTCCTATAGTGATTTGATTTTTACAATGTGCCCCACTAATAAAGGATTGATGAAAAATATACGATGGAAAGACAGATATTTGGAGATGGAATAGGCGGAAACGAGATGGATGTTGAAACATTTTCGCGTTGACGTTTCACTACTTTACGTGAGCATTATCAAAACAACAGAAAGATTCAAAGAAAAAAAATCGTTATCGTGCCAACACTGTTACATTAAAACACTGATTAATTTGAAAAATCCTTACGGTTAATACAATTCAATTATACAACCGTGAACAAATCAACAAGATTTGTACACAGGAAATATGTTAAAATGCAAATATAGTGATTAAACTTGTTAAAATGAACGGAAGAAAGTTTTGGTGAGAAAAATAAAGCGCCGATAGCCACATGATGGATACTTATAATTAAAAATGCTATTAATATGTTTAACTTTATTTTTCTTTTTATGTGCCATGTCCTTTCAGGACGTAGGCGATCATGGCTCTCCACCTCCTCCTATCCCTTGCAGCTCTCAACAAGTTCCTTCCCTCTACTTCTTACCCCAGACCACGTTCTGTCATCCACTTGCTTAAGCCCGCCAGGCATGTCACGCGTTGTTTTCTCTTGTCTCTCTTTCCCCCTATTCGACCCGTGAGTTTCAGATTCTCCAGGCCCTCCTTTCTCATTATGTATTCCAGAAACTTCAGCTGCCACTTGTTTGCAAACTCTCCAAGATCTCATCGTTGCTCACACGCTCGGTCCATGATATCCTTAGTATCTTTCTGTAGAACCACATCTCCGTCGCCTTGAGTCTCTTCTTTATCTTTGAGGAAATCGCCCAATATTCACTACCGTAAAGAAGGACAGATATCACGTAACAGTTCAGTATTCTTTTCTTTGTTACCAAAGAGATCCTCCTGTCTAGCGATACTCTGCCCAGCTTTTGGAATGTGTCCTTGGTCATCCCAATACGCCCACGGATCCCAGTGTCGCACTTGCCGTCCTCTGTCAAAACACTTCCTAGATATTTAAACTTCCGCATCTGCTTGATTCTAGTGTTCCCGGCCAGCAAATCGCATTTTGGGCTCTTCCTTTTACTGATGACCATGCATTCTGTTTTCTTGTAGTTTAGATGTTTATCTCTTATAATGTTATTTTCTTTAGGTATTATAAGGTGATATGTTTTTATGTAAAATTGAGGGCTTGGAAAATTTGACACTCAAAGGACTTATTGAAGGCTAGAGCAACAGCGGTAAACAGCTCATAAATTACCCAACGAGCTTATGTAAATGGATTAGGAGATATAGCTGAAGGACAAACTTTACTAAGGGTTAAAAAGGGGAGGGAGTTGTGGAATGCTGTGATCACCCAAAACCCTGAAGGAACACGACACATAGATGAAGAAAGTTGAGATGAGTAAAATTCGATATTCTAGTTGAATGCCTTGACATAGAATAACAAGTTCACGTAACAGACTTTTACTACTGTAGTGAATTATTATTGGTTGCCCTACTTCTTTAACTCTAGGACACTAACCATGGGCATATAATATACGTAGCGCAAATTTTCCTATTTTAATTACAATATTCAGTATCTGATTTTCTTAAGTAAATAATATGTTTTTTCAGTTCCTATTAATGTTAACTCAAAGTACAACGTTTGAAGTGCCTGCATGTAAAATATTTCAAATAAAGATTTATATTTTATTTATTTATTTATTTTTTTTTTTTTTTTTGATATTTTCAAAATCGGGTATGATATACCCATGGTTAGTAGTGGTGTAACTTTAATTGATGGTTAGTGTGCTAGGGTTAACAGTATGAATAACAAAGTTTCTAATAACTATAAATTATAAAAAGAACTTAGTGTAAATCCAGGCTTTCTCTCAGGCTGATTCCCCGGTACAATGTGCCCTTGTGCCAGCTCAAGTTAAACCTTGTTTAATGGGTTAGCGTAATGGTGCATTTTTTTATACTGATGTCAATGTTCGGTATGTGATCCCATTAAAAAAAATGTTAGGATTTTTGGATTAGCGTTTCTGTCTTCTGTCTGAAGAATGGTCTTGCTTGACTTCTTAAAAGATGTCAAGCAAGACTATTCTTCGAAAACTGGCACAACACATTCATCCTGCCTTTAGAAAGACGTTGTAAAGATAAATAAAAGCCGGTAACTCTTTTATTTATACGAATTCATGTCTACTATCATCCTGCTTGTTAAGGCCTACCTAAACTTTCCGACTTGGGAATTTTCTCCTGTATGATGAACGGTTGTATCCCCGATGAAGCTTCCTGCTTTGAACGCCTATTGGAACCCAAGTTCGTATCATACCTGAAGATCTTGATTTTAATTGAAAAGCATCTACACGACTTTGTAGGCGATTATTTCAGACGAAACGTCGTAAGCCTCTCGATACTCTATTGCTATTTCCACGAAAAGAATCCTGACGAGTTACATTCTTTGATTCCACTATATTAAACTCTCACAACTAGAACACGCCATGTTACGTACACGGTGTCGAATCATCATTGGTAACAAGGAAGTTCAATTCCTACAATGTCTATCAAGAACCTCTACTTTGTAGAACAGGCTCCCAAGTGAATGCTTTCTAGATCGTAACGTTACCTATCCTACATATCCTCATAATCCGTACTTCTTACCTCCTCTCTACCTTGAGTGGATCTTGGGCCATATATTGGGTGAAGAATGGGATAAAAATGGATCAGAGTGTAGTATCTGCCCGAGCCCCAATTATTCTGAATTGAACGCAATTACTTACACTTTATGACCAAAAAGACATTGATACTTTTTTTTATCAAGGATAGTTTAGCATTTAAACCCGATTTCCGGTCTTTTTAGACAGGAATTATTTGCACTTTCTCACCGAGAAAACAACATAATAATATTAATTGGGAAAGAATTGAAACAAACAAGGAGGCAACGAAATAGGATAAGATAGGGAGTAGGAAAAACTAACTGAAAGGAATATATATATATATATATATATATATATATATATATATATATATATTAAAATATATATTTAAATATATATATATATGAAAATATATATATATATTTAAAAAATATGGGTCCATCGCTACACAGGAATTACCATGTTTCAAAAACAGAAGCTAAAAACTTCAAACTGTTTTATGATATTTATGCTCTGTAGATTTGCAATGAGCACTGTTTTGTATAAATAAAAATATTAATAAGAACACCGGATTATATATCTTACTGTTCTTTCTCTTTATTATAATATATATATATATATATATGAAAGTGAACATTGAAATCGACTCTCAGAGGTGACAGGCCTTTTCATGCTGGACGCAATCGCCAGGCCGATATTTAACAGTCCCCCGACAAGGAATTTATGCGGCACCAGACCGAGTTTAACGCGTGTTTCTCCGAGCCCGTAGACTCGGCCCAAAATATTCCATTAAAACCCGCATAAACGGGTTCAGGATCTGTCTACCTCCCCGGACGAAACTTTGCCCTTCGGCAAAGCTTCGTCCGAGTTCCTCTCTGCCAAAGCAGAAAATTCGACAGAAGTCGCACACAGTCAGAGACTGCGTGTGGACCGCCTAAACACAATCGTCAGGCCGCGAATGCTGGATATTTCCTCGGCCATTATATATATATATATATATATATATATATATATATATATATATATATGTATGTATTGTTTTGTAATTGTTCAATAAATAATTGATTAAAGTAACTGAAGTACGTCATTAAGAACGTCATTATAACAAAAGAAATCATAAATTCTTCAAGAAATGTTTTGATACCTTGAGTTCATTAGAACCACTGGCCAAACCAAGGATCGTTTCTTGGAGCGAAACACTGAAGATGATAAATATGAAGAATATGCAACGTGAGGAAAAATTTTCAATTCCATGTGCATTTGCTGCGTCGCATTTACAACCTGAACACGGGCATTGCCATACAGTTAAATTATCGAGCGCCTTCCTTGCAAAAAAAAGAGAAAGAATTATTTCTCTTCGAATGGGTCATTCAAATAAGTTAACTCTAACCCCCTTGATGCTCACCGTTAAAAAATTAAATTAAAATTCCCTAAATAAAATAAAATAATTAATAAAAATTCAGTATTGCTAATGGTAACAGAGAAATTGGCCGTTTCCTTATAGGGAAACATTTAACATTCAATGGGCGAACAGTTAGCGTTACTTTCTGTTGAAATTAATACAATCTTTTTTTCAAAACAGTTTGTTCAAGAAAATAGGTTTCTCAAGTCCACTAACTGTTATAGCTCTTTCTATTATTGTTGGGGTTTTCTTTTAAAGCTTTTGTTCTTAGTAGTGTGGAAAGTTAGCATCTTTATTAAATCATTATTTCCCTTTCTAGTTACACGTGTTAACCATTTTTAGTGGCTTTTTATTAAAAAAAAATAAAGATAAAAACCAGGTATTAATTAATGGTTTATACCCGGAAGCCATTAATAACCA